ATAGTACAAGCTCTGCTTAGTTTGGGACTAGATGGCGTTGTGTGAATGTGGTACAATATTATTATTATTATTATTATAGACTACATTTAGACTGAAACCGTTATTCATTCATGACTAATAACTTTTAACCTGATTAGAGCGTAAATATTGTAAAATAAAATTACAATTAACATTTAAGCTCTGAAGCATAACTTAAGAGTAGATTCATTTAAAATGTTTAAAGAGCTTCTTTCATCAGGAAGTATTATATGGCCACATTTTAAGGCAAATCCCGGTTAAATATTCCAAAATTTCATAATTCACCCGCAGCTTAAGTTCTTTTCTTATAATTTACATTAATTGGCACAGTCGCTGACATATTTATGATCTCGATACCTGTCAACAAACTGTAATCAACACTGATTGCTAATAAAATTTGGATAATATTTTATATGAAACATAATATAGTAATAATTAACAATTTGGTATAAAAAAAATATTATAGCTATTTCATAGTCAATTGACCTGACTTTTTAATCATCCCCAACGTTTCAGTAGAGACTATAATATTTAATTACAATTTAAGTACAATTTAATTACTCTTTTAATATAAAATTTTTGTAGCACATTGTTAAATAACATAAACTTGAGATAACATATTTTTTTGTTCTATGATTTAGTTGGAAATCGACTTGTATGTACAATTTCTACCTGTTTTCATAATTGTTGCATTAATAATATAATTAATCCTTATATCTTAATTTACTCATTTATATGCAAAAGGTGTAAATTAAAAAAATACATCATTTAATGTTTGAAAAGATTTTAAAGAAACTTTTTAAATATTGCGTCTAAATATTAAAGATTGTTACAATACCACACAAACTCGCTGTGTGGTTTGTAATTATTTTAGCTATTTAAACAAGTTATTAGTAATACGTTTTAATGGCATTTCTATTGGGTGATAGGTGATGCATGTAATACTTTAGCATAAACCATAATATATTCTATCTCAATAGATGCATTGAAAACATGTTATCGCGAATGTGTCATTCTTAAGCATTCTCACTGACACAAATTAACTTCAGAAATGTTATCTATACCTACCAATTTAGAAGAGTGCAAAAAGATTTCTTGCACAATGTTGTAGAATTACTATTTGCCGATTTACCTTGGCAGAAACAAGCCAGAAAATTTGGAACAGAACAATGGCAAAACTCCTCACACTCTACTTTAGAGTGGGTGACACAGCTCAACAAGTAGCCAAATCTGTCGGGATATACGGGTATTTTTATCTATAGTATAGAACACTATATAGTTTCAATCGGTTCGGTCTCAGCACACCATCTTGAAATGATCCCTGTGATATGGTGAACCATGTGACACGTCAAAAACAAGGTGCACATTATTTTCTAATAAAAAACCGTGGACAACAATATGTTATATGTAGCGTGCTTAAGAGTCTTGTAGCCGGTATATTATGTCACTAATTTTTTTTATGATACGTGGGTCAAAAATATAGGCGAAGTATTTCCAAACAGCCGAAGAAAATGGTACCAGTTAACCTCCAATATTATAAAATGATTGCACACTTTCTAGGTATATATTTTAGAAGAGTGGGTCACTATTACTTGTTTTTAAAAGTATTTTTGTAGAACAATATTTGATTTTGCATATATTTTAAAACTCGCATAAGTGTGACGCTATTAGCAAGAATTAGAAATCATTTGATTACTATAAAACTGTATTATATTTATTGACCCGTAAAATATTGATTGATTGTGATTAGACAGGCCACAGGATATCAAGGTTAAATTGAAATGCCCGCTCTTCCTAAATCATTACCTTGAATCTTCTCAATTCACATTCGAGTTGAATACTTTTACTACATAAGTATCGACATTAATATTTATTTTTAGATATTCTGTGATATAAATACGTATATATTTTGCTTTAAAAAATGATCGTGTGATACGATACCACGCCCGGAAAATGGAAACTTTTGTTGGTTGATGTGTTTACTGTGCAATTCGACAGTGCCATCAACGGTGGCAGTCATTGCTAAACATAACTGATGTGATGTGTAATACCTGGCTACATGGATCTCACCTACACTGATTATTGAAAGTATTAGGGTCATCGTAGTTGATTTATTTTTGATAAAAATACGGCTAAATATAGTTTTTATTCTGAAAGTTCAATACGCAATGTATTAGCTAAGTAATTGTAATCGAAAATATATTGTTTGACTTTTGAACCTCCGAATTTTACCAACGATTTCCCACGAAAAGAGGCGAGTTATAAAATATATGTTTAGCTTTCTTAAATTAATAGGTACATTAATGCCATCATAAAAAAAGTGTTTTTTTCTTGACACAAAGATCATTGAAGCGATGCTAAGTTGCTTGAACAATCCCCTTTACTTTCTTCCTTTATTTCCTTTGAAAATGATTACATTGATTGATGTGGTGATGGATTAAGAATATGAAGTGTCACCACCGGAGTGTAGAGGCCTATGTCCTGCAGTAATCTATTAAAGGTTGTTGATGAATGATGATGATGATGATGACATTCCCAAGAAGGATTGGCAAGAAGGAGCCTGTTGGCTATAAAAAAAACGTAACAAAATCCTTTACAATGTTACGCATCGGGCCGACTCTATAAAAATTAGAAGAAGATTAGGATGATGGTGAATGATATTGATCTCTGTGATATTGATTTTGTTCTCATAAACTAAAGCTATTGCTGTCATAGGTTATTCTTGAATAGGCACTATGTATATCAAGCAACCGTAGAATTTTTTTACAATACCATAAAGAACAGGGTTTAATTTCCGAATTCAAAGTTCAATAAGCAAATTGTATACAATTACTTAACAGTATTTTATTCATATGCAAAAGATACTACCAGACTGTTTCTATGGAGGAAGTAAAAGTGACCAGAACAGGTTGTAGAGAGCATAGTGTACAGTTACGTCAACAATACACCCAGACTGCCTTGAAAGCGTAGTGTGCCTGTTGAACTCTAAATGGGAATTAGAATGTAGTGTCCATTTTCGAGGTGTAGGCTACAGATAACAGACTAGGTGCGTTAGTGTTTTACTCGATTCGGTTAGTAAATTTCATTAGTATGACTCACCTACCGGTTTTTGTCGATAAAGTAAATATTTATTCGAGTTACTGCTATTTATTAGAATATTCTAGTTTGGATAGCGTACTTACATTTTTATTCTAAATCGCTAAAGGAGTGACATAAAGAAGTTCTAAACAACAGATATAGATGAGTACAAAAAAGTATTGTCCCAAAATTTACTGTATTTACTAGTTTTGGTATCTAAAATATGGTAGCTATCTTGCTTTATTAGTACCTAACTGTCTTGCGTTACCAAGTCACGGTCCCGTCAGAAATTAGGATTGAACAAAACTTATCAAATAAATTCCACTAAATCTAATGCTTCAGCATATGGGTCCGGCCGTCTCGACCGAAGTCAGACCAAGACCTCACAAAATACCCATGTAAGTTATTCTGCACTCGTTGGTTTTTATCCAGTGAGGTTATAGGAAACCCAACATTCTACGAAGCTGCACCCGGAGAGGGTGCACAGAGTGCAAGGGTTCATGGGTGGAGATCAATCACTTACTATGAAGTCAACCATCAGCTCGTTACTATTTAATATTTAAAAAAGTCATGTACTTCAATATGAATTTCGGGATTAAAAACAAACAGGAGTTCAGGTAGGAATTGCCTATAAATAATCTATTGACACGTGCTACTAGGCTATTAGTAGTATAATACTAGGTAGTATTCTATAACGTATCTTCTGTTGGTTGTAATGTATAGGTTTAGCCCAAGATTACATCACGATAACTGTTCAATACACAGTCACGTTGTACTTTAAAAGTACCCGTATTGCAATCCAGTCTAAAATTATACTGGTACTCGTACTATAATTATGAATAGATAATACAGTGTCTAAGAGAACATGCATAGTAAAATCTGTTTGAGCAAGCAAACGCACTTAGCGTTTACTTGCTTACTCTTGGTGATATAGGCGTAAGTGTATGTATGAATGTCTTGACATAACATCATCAGCAGCATTCATCAACAACCTATAATAGCCCACCGCTGGACATAGACCACTCCCTAGAAAGGAGGTTCTGGCCTACTACACCACGTTGGCCAGACGGGTTGGGAAATTATTTTCACTTGATGAATGGGGGTGCTGATATTCCGTATTGTTAGTCCGTCATCACATGGGCAATACCGTAACAATACTGTAACAATAATGACAAAACAATGTAAGGATATATCGATGTTAATCCATGCCCTTGAATTTAGGTAAGTATTTATTATAACATCATAATTATTATCTATAAAAAAATAGCTATATTATTATTGTTATTATCTGTGAAACAAATCTGATTTCGATTTACTTGTTAGGGTAAATTAAATGCATGTATATAAGTAGGTAGATATTTATATGAAGTCTACAAAATTTTTGAAATGTGTACTGACTTCATTAAAATGTGAAAAACAATGTAATCCATGATTAAATTATGTAAGTAAGTATGTCGTAATAGAAAAACTATTTTCTAGCTCATTTGTGCCTACTTACTGTACTTCGTTTTGATGTTTTTTTTGACCAACCCATCTAAACAAAACTCATTTTGGGGGTTAAATCATTAACTAGATTTTCTATTTTTAATTGATTACAATTTATTTTTGTATTCTAATAAGCACTTCGGTGTGAACGTACCGATAATGAGATACGACCTACAAACTATATTTGTTTAAAAAAAGTCGCAAAAATTAACGGTTTTACATAGAATTGTACATTTTGGAAGACCTATTTAGAGGCCAACTACTTTCAATAACGTATTGGAATAGTATTTTGTATTTGTAATTGAAAAAGCTTTGTGTAAAGTGATTCAGATAAAATAATTCATTGTTTGAACATTTTGTCACAAAGGTCCAATCATCAGATCTTATAACAGCGCCATCTATCTGTTAGAGCTATAGCTATGAATGGAAAGTTTCGACTTTTACAGTTCTACAGTATAACACGAGATGGCGCTACCATATATCAATCACAAAATACCACGACTTACATTGTACAGATGGCGCTGACGGAGGAGAAACTTAGTAATTTGTGCAGTTTTTCCTTTAATATAATATTAGAGGTAACTTTGGGTTGTAAGTAACTATAGCATACTGTATGGTTTTTTATAAAAACGCTACAGCCTTTACAATAAAAGAAAGTCATTTATTCGGTAATAATCAATGAAGTGTAAATATTAGGCATAGGTAACGTATGCAAATGAAGTTAATTATCTAATTAATATAAATGGACTAATTCATAATATATGTATACATTACATATATTATGAAGTAGCACTTCGATTATCTAATTCTAGTGGTATCTTCAATGTCAGGACGGCCATACGGATACGCGATCCCGGTCTCTTTGAGCTACTCGGCTGCTTCACTTCAGTCTCGTTTTCCACCCGACACTTAAGTTTTCCGGTTTTCTTGTCCTATCCGAAAACAATTACATTCTCGAGAAAGGTTGTTATTAGATAGGCGGCTACTAAAGAAAGTAGATAAAACAGTTTGCAATAATAGGTAGGTACCTACTCGTTGCACTGAACCAATAACAATTGGGAAATGGGTTAAATGACGATGGTGATTGTTTAAATAGCGAGTTGTCCAACAAATCTTACTATTGTGGCATTCGTTTCGTTCTCCGGCTGGTGAACACGGTGACTGAACTCAAATTATAGAGGTTGGTCACTAAAATAATTCTCCGCAAATCTTGGATATAACCTATAAAAATTTAAAGTAAGGAATGCGAGGTTCTGGTATTGAGTTGTATTATGATTGTAAATCTAAATTACATTTAATTAATTAGGTAAATAATTCTTGTTTATTGCAGAGTGTTAATATTGCAACTAAATATCAACCACTACGTTCAAAACGAGATAATGGAATATTATTGTTAGCTAAAGTTGCAGTAAAAGAACTTATTAACTTAACGATTAGAGATCGATAGTTATCGTAGTATTCATATCATTATATACAAGTAAAACTTATATATGTCCCGCTTTTCTTTCGTGGTAGGTATATAAAAATTCTAGTTTATTGTACTTGTTTACTAACTGAATCAAAAATATTATTTTTTATTCATGTTATGCATGAATATTTATTTATTTTGCTGTTTGTAATAGACACTTTAAAGAAAACAAGGAAAAGTAACACTTTATTAACAGATATACCTACATATAAATAAGCTTTCTAAAAATTCTAAGCGCTTAAGGATTTTGTCCATACTTCTGGTCGCATTTCGAAGTCACTTTCCAATTCCAAATTATGTATTCTTGAACTGCCGAACTGTTGCTATTACATATAAATGAAATTGACACCAATAATATAATTTGTCTCACTACATCAAGTACATACCATCCAGAAATAAATTACAACCAAAGCCCATCCATCTTTCTGGTTTTGTAGGATCAAAAAACGCGTTGGCCGTGTAAAATCGACTGCTTGCCTCTTGTTCGTTGGATCTTGTTTCAATTCTTTTTTCTCGTTGAAGATGTATCAGACGCATTATCCTGGAGGTTTGGTATTGGGGGGAGAGGAGGGAGGGTACACTGTGACTGGGCGCGTGCGCATAACTCGAGCGTGACGTCACACGAAGGCCCGGTAAAAAACGCCGTGAACCCTGCCGTCAAGGCCTCTCAGGCTCCTGCATTTACATGTTATTATATCTATCTACATGAAAATGCGATTTGCTCACGTTTCTTCAAAGGGCATTGTTAAATATCTATCGGATACATTTAGAGTAGTATTTTTAAATAAAACGTTCTGTTTTTTAAGCTTCTGTGAATTTAATGAATTAATTTTGGTTCCATCTAAATTACGCAGCTTATGATATTGCTAGAAATAAACAAAAAAGTAATAAATATTAAAGCTGATGAGCGGAACGTCCGATACAAACTTGTGAAGATCAATTTCCTCATATCACGACCGTAGACAGTTAGAAGCCCTATATAGATCACTATCAGACAATTTCGATATCGATACGAGAGTAATGTAGAAGTAATGCACGTTTTTGTTATCAGCCGTTAGATAAACGGCACTATGATTGAAAATCCCACGTTCCCTTGTAATCTTTTCTGCTTGTTTTCATGTTGAGAGATTCGTTTTGTAACTATTTGTATGCACGATTAAGTACAGTACAGAAGCCGACGAATTACCTTAAGACAACACGCAATAAAAAACTTATTGATCTTTGCCTACATGTATGTGTCTACTGTTATGAAAAAAAATGATTGACACACAAACCAACGCAGCAACTATACATAATTATTATCAACACGCAAATAAGTTCCAAGAAATCCAATTACTTGGTATATTTACAAGTCTCTTAATACGAGGTATCAATCTTGAATTTTAATATCCCGAACGTCTCGTGAGTCATGTTCAAAAACTTAAAGGACGCATAAAAAGAATAAAGAATGTGACTTTAAAATATTTTTTTTTGTTTACAGGTGACAGTATGGGGGAATAGTACAGTGGCTGAGGTAGTATGTGAACCTTTGAATGAAATCGGAGCAACAGTTGCTGGTCTCCCCTCTGCACCAATATCTGCTCCTCTGTCGGTACCCTTGGGAGGTGCTCTTCCTTTGCCGGATTCTCTCGCAACCATACCTACTTCTCCACCGGTGGCGCTATTATTCTTGGGTGGATCTAAAGCTCCCGTAGAACCAAGAGCTTCAGCAATGGTCTTAGAAGGAGAAGTGCTTGTAGTGGAATATCAACCACCGCAATGGGATGGAACAGATTTGGAAACATTCATCGCTTGGGAAAAGATTTATGGTTAGTATAATTAATTTCTGTGCGGTATGTACTTACATACTTATAGATGTACTCTGCCACGCTTCGCTGTGGCACATTGTGGTTGCATTGATGAGCAACGAAGAGCCAAACGAAAATTAGATTATAATAATATTTATATATTACATATATTACATATTTTCGGCAATCTTACACACATCACCTCTAGTTACAAACTAAGCAGAGCTTGTACTATGAAGGCCAGATTGAATGATAGAATAATTATTTACTATTTTTGTAAATAAATTCATGTTATACATCACCCAAACTCCGAAACAAATATTTGCAGATCATAGAAACATTTGGTCTGACCCGGGAATCGAACCCGAGAATGAACGCAGTGGCTACCACTGCACCACCGAGGCAGTCGAGATTAAAACAATCTTTAAAGCGGGTTGTATATAATGTGAAATTTTGGGCTCATTCAGTGCAGGACTTTTTGAGTTTTTTAAGCGTATACAAACCAACTGAACATTGTTATGAAATAGTTTAGCTAAATGTGCTTGATTAACCCTTAACTCGATAACGTATCTTATTATGCACACATTATTAAAAAAAATATTTCTCTATAATGTCGGTGTATTTTAATGCAAGTGTTACTTAGTCTATGATAATAAAGGACTATAGTGGGTAGATAAAAATTAATATTAAAAATCTGGCTACGTTTGTAGTCAATAGATCGCAAAATGGAGGAACGTTTGGGCTGGTCTGCAAAGTGCAAGGTAAAAATTAATTCAAATACAATTTTAATACTTAATTTGTAAAAAAAAACTATGAAATTTATTTAATTAAATATATGTTGAATTGCCTATGAAGAAAATTTGAATTAAATTATAATGCTATACTGTTTAAATATGGCCCTCAATAATTATGTATCTACAAATGCACATTGCCAAGTTCCTAAGTTAAGACCTTATAATTATTATGTGCATTTTTGTATACATTGTCAAACTTATAACACTTTAACATTTATAATGATTTGTATATAAATTTAAAATATCCATAGAAAGGAATTATACAACAAGAATTATTTATTTATTTTAGGTCAACACACGAACACAAAAAATATTAGCGTTGGTCACAAAACCTAGGGCGAGCTTAGATGTTGAGAAAAGTGATTCTTCTGATACTGAAATAACGAGAATTAATGCTGATGGTGATGATAGTTCAGATCCACCTTCATTGCCATCATCAGTAGAAAATCTACACTTATTTTCGGACAGTGAAGACGAATACAGGGTAGTTTTAGTAACAGTTCAAAATTCAAATATTGCGAATAATGTGAGTTTATCTCCATCTAGTGTATCTGCTTCGCTTTCAAATATTGCAAAAAAATATTACTATTCCACCGACTCCTTCACCATTATCTTCTTCAATAGAAAATAGCTCCATACATGGATCAGTTAGCCTTCACCTTTTAATGCTACCTACTCGATCCAAGAAAAGAACATTTGTAGTTAAAAAAATATAATAAAGAAAAGCTGGAGGTTAAGTGGACTACTGCAAAATTCAAACATACTGCCGAAATCAAAGATAAAATAATTAACAAGCCATTGGAAACTAAATCACCTTTGGAATACTTTAAATTGTTTTTTTCGGAGGACATATTCGAATTAATGGTACAAGAAATTAATTTATATCATATGCAATTAAGGACCACACCTATGAATGTAGCTTTAGATGAAATAAAGGACTTTATAGCTATCAATATCCTTATAGGTGTTGTACGTCTACCGGCGTATACTGATTAATGGTCTAAAGCACTTAGATATAGCAAAATAGCAGATTAGAGCATTTTGTGGGTAGCCTAGTGACGATGGTGATCGTTATTATAAAATTAGACCCTTATTAGAGAAAATCCGACTAAACTGTTTGAAAACTGAAGAGGAGAACCGATTTAGTGTCGATGAAATGATGGTGCCTTACAAGGGTACAAGAGCTGGTACTCGAAAGCAGTAGGTATATACAAAATAAATCGAGAAAATGGGGGTATAAGATATTTGTTCGGGCTGGAGTATCGGGCATCGTATATGACTTTTTGGTTTATGGAGGAGAAGACACGTTTAGATATCATGAATTCAATGAGGAAGAAAACACCTTAGGGTTAGGATCGAAAGTTGTCATAGCTTTATGCAAGTCGTTCAAGGAGCCTGCATGCAGTGTGATATACTTTGATATTTTTTTTACATCCATAGAATTAGTGCATTACTTAAGAAATGAATACTGTATATTTTCATTAGGGACAGTGAGAACAAATCGTCTTGGAGGTGGTGACAAGCTTCCTACTGATAAAGTTTTGTGTTAAGGGTCAAACCAAATTTATATGCCTTAAATGGCAAGTTAGACTCTGTTTAATTGCAGATCGTAACTGCTTTTATAAGTATCATAATAAATGATTGCTATTGTTATGTTTAAAGAAATATTAAATAAAAATCTTGAAAAATATAAAGTATTTTCACTTCTTTACTAGTCAAGTAAAGTATCTAATAATGCACAAGCAATCCAAATTATGAATTTTTAGCTACTTGCCAGTGTGCATAATAAGATACATGGCATAACACTAAAACCAATTATGCAATTTTTTTTTTAATATTTTTCTGGCGACCAATAATAACATAAAAACTCATATATATACAAAGAACAAAAAAATTATAACATTTATTTCTCTGTCGAGTTAAGGGTTAAAGCTTAAAGTTCGGAAAAATATTTTTTATTCAATTTCTATATATATATATTCTATCTTAAATGTGGAAAGTACAAACTTACAAGTTGCCCGTCACATAGAAAAGAGTTAAAAGTATCCATATAAATTGGCAAAAATAGCAGTGTCAGTGTATCCAGTTTTAAGGTTGTATCAGTTTCATTCATAAATATAAACTTAGTCAAGTCATATATAATCAGTATGATCCCTCCAAAATCTTTCACAGTGACCATTCCAAACCTAACTTACAAGTTGCACGATCATCATTATATCATTGCATCATTATACCCAATAGCTAGGTCCAATATCTAGGTTGACTTAAACAGTTACCCTGTAGGGTTACTGTTTAAGTCGACCTAGATACTTTAGGGGCTTGTAGTTGTGTACAATACGTTCATGTTTTTAACACATCTGCCGTTTATGTCATAGATTTTTTCTTTAAATATCTTCTACATCTTAAATATCTTCTCTATCTCTCTCTTCTATATCTATATCATCATCATCATCAGCCTATCGCAGTCCACTGCTGGACATAGGCCTCTCCCATTGAAATTTATATAATCTTTAAATATTCGTCAGTGAAAAAATTTTTTTTTACAAATTTATTTCATTTTGCTGTTATCACACACAACCTCTTAATCCAGAATAAAGTTAATTTCAATTCATTTCACGTGTCGTAGAAAGAAACTGCTTTTAGCCATTGCGCATTTGGCAGCGTGTTTACACTAACTAATGTTTGTTTTTAAATACTAGTTACATCATTACATAAATTTACAAAACATATTCAACTATGATAATGACTTTTTTAGACTTTTTAAATGTAATTTACATGTTAAACAAAGTTTAATAGCTAAAGCTCTCGTTGTTTGTTCATAAACCGACTTCAAAAAAGAGGAGGTTCTCAATTGACTGAATGTTTTGTTTTGTGTCCATTTGCATTTAAAGAAAATATGCCTACTCTTACCAATGATAAATTTAAGGATTAAACATATAGCTTATAATATATATTAACATTGAAGTTGGTGAAACTTTTAACACGTTTAATGAAGTAATTTCTAAATCACAGCACATACAATAGATGATTGTCAAGGCAAATGAAATTAATCAAAGTATCTAATACCTCAAAACGTTGGAATTGGTGCAATAATGTATAGAAATAAAAACTATGGCAAATCATAACTCAGTGTTGAGAAATCATTTAATCTTATTTTAATTATAACTGAATTCGAAGAAAAAAATAGCCTTAAGAACTACGCAATTGTTAATGCGCCTCGACTCCAACCAAAACTGTTGGAAATTACCAAAGATACGAGTACTTAAGAGGAATCATATTTTTTTTTATTACAATCTCATTATAGAGAGCATTTTAGTAATTACAACATATACGTTTGTATAGCAGGGGCGTGATTTACTGCGTCATGGCATCAGTGGGAAAAACCACATTGATAATAGCCATAAAGGTGACTTTTTAAATTGAAGTGTAAGAATCAAAAAGTAACGGATGCATCATTATAATGAGCATACTTCAATTCATACCGTGTTTAACTATTTTCAATTACCTGTCAAATAAATTTATTTATTATGGAACTCAAACTTTCTTTAGAGGTACCTTCGAGTTACATCAATGCACGGAGTACATTCATTCAGTATTCTATTGGCAGGCTCAGCGATGTTTGTAGAAAGCGGTTTGGCAATAAGACGTATACGTATGCTATTGTCCGGTAATCTTTCCTAGAAGGCTCTTTATGCATTACGTATGCAGCCGTCGTGACTGCCACAGCTAGTTCACTGAAGTCGCATTAGCGATTAGAGAAGTGATACTTACAATAATATATTTTATCAGATCTTTATCAATATCTATAGAATATATTTAATTTAGAGATATTATTGTTAAATCTGCTGACTTCGATAGTGATTATTTGATTTCAATAGGTTCTAAAAAGAAATACATGTCGCGCCAGACTTGTTACCTAGAGTTATCAATTTAAAAGAATTTGACAAAAATATTATACAATACAATATATAAATGAATAAATCCTTATAGACTGTTAATAGCTGTAATTATCTATTGGCTACTTGTATGGGCATGTAAAAGCTTAAGAACAAAAATTAGGATTTCTCCCCTACACGTAAATTGGGGATGTTTTTTTTATCTATCCTCATAGTGTGCGACGTTATATGATAGAATTATTAAAAATATTGTTCCACTTGCGAAATTTTAAACAGTAATTTATTGCTTTCAAAAATCTGAAACAAATCATTATGGTTTTGATGGATTTTGTACATCTAACGAAAATAGAAGGAAAAGAATCAGGGCTAAGTTTGCTGTATTAGTTTAAAATAATAATTTTCCCAACGCATAAAATGTACCTACTTAGAACATTTCAAATTCATCAACATCCTTTAACAGTCCACTGCTGGGCCTCTCCTTAGAAAGGAGGTTTTGGGCTACTATACCACGCTGGCCAGACGGGTTAGTATAGGGTTTGTTTCAAGTTTTCCTTCTCTTTGCAGTGCTGTTTTCCTGCGTAGTTTGCTCCCTTAGTCGTCTCTTACGACACCCACGGGATGAATAGGGGTGGTGATACTCCGTATTCTCAATCCGTCATCACACGGACTAACGATGCAAATTGACAAACCCCAAATGTAACATAATTAGTAAATCAATCTTAGACGCAAAATTTTACCTGATTAACCATTGGAACTTTACAATGCGCGTAGACCGACACGTACTTGGCCGTTTTTTATCGCTACTCATCTAGTTCTGAGACACAGCCAGATGCCATGCTTATGACTAATACCCAAGTTTTTATTCTCTCAGTATAATGATACGTTAAAATCAAGTTTTAGGTCATTGGAAATATGAACTTTAAATGCAAGGTGAATCATTTTATCAATGTGCAACGTGACCTCACAGTCGCCCACGTACATTTTTGTAGCGTACAGATTATGTAGATGTTTCAAGTAACACGGTCAATAACCGACAATTACACATACTAAACTGGTGCACATAAACGTAACACAATTTGCATTATAAATACTTTCTCTTTTATTACAGCTTCAACACTATTTTCGGCGGTGGAGTTGTATGGCAAGCCACTTCTACGTGCAGCTGTAATCACTAAAGAGGAATACCACCTTCTGTTTTACTACCTGGAGTCCGTATCTGAAGCCAGCGAAGCTCTAACAGAACGGATGAGGAAATATATTGATTCAGGCTTACTAATTAGCGATAGTAAAACTGAAGACGAAACCAATCTATCAGATCATTCGATCAAAGAAGAAGAACGAAATAGCAGTTTACTAATTGAACTTATTCAAGAAGGAGTTCTCACTCAACAAGATGTCGATGCATCTTCAGTGATAACGAACTCTGAGTGTAATGAGTCAAATGCAGTTGAGAACAGAAAAATTGATGATGATAATCGTTCTAGTGTTTCTTCAGTAAGTCTTCGTAAAGTTATTGTAGATTTTTCAATTGATTGCAATGATTCAGTGGCCGATGGCTCTATTATAGAAAGTAATGACAATGTTACAACTGTAACTATTAAGAGCAGTGGTCAGTGCTGTGTCGACCACAGGATATCGGCTGATGTTACTGATAATGTTTGGGCTAATGTACGATGGCACTTCCTAAACCCAAATGACTTCGGTTATGACCAAGTGCGAAGCGTTAAGCGTAGTCGCTCTGATTCAGCTATTACACCTGTATCTCAAAGGAAAAATTCGGAATTATACGAACGACTTCACGAAAACGGTGCTGAAGCCGAATCTTGTGGGAGTATAACTCCGTATGAATCTATTGAAGATTTGTATGATTGTATAAAAAATGCTCAGTATAGTAGTGCTGCCGCCGAGGAATCGTCGCCGTCGACCGAGAGTCAATCGGAGCCTCAATACCCGGACTACTATGAAAAGTCGAGCACAACCCGTCAGAGTTCCGCAAGTAGCGAAAAAAGCGGGGCCTCATCCGCGTTTCCGTTTTCGAAATGTGGTTCGAGCGATTCTGCGGACGCCTATACATCGTGCGAGTCGACTAGTGGGATCAGTACTTTCGCAACGAAAAGTATCCCGGAGTCTCTGAAGTGTCGAGAGTTGCCTCCTCCGCCGGCAGATGGAACTGCAAGTGAAAGCGCAATTCTTTTGAAACAATTATTCAGTGGTGAACTATTAGACGCTTATAGGGAGTTTTTATCTGCATATCCTTACGCAAGAGCTCTGTTGCGACGCAAAATTCGACGGGACGAGCACTTCGCGGCCCTCGCAGATATACGCCGAGGTGCAGCCAAGTACACAATCAGCGAGTACCTCGAATTACCGGTAAGTACGTAACTATAAGCTCTTTCGACGGTATAGCATGCAATTGAATTAATGACAGCACGTATTGTAGAGTGACATGTATTACAAAAGTCAGTAGGATAAATGTTCTTTCATTGCACTTGACCTTACGAAGAGTTCATTTCGAGTGAGGGTGGAATGTAATGAACGTATCAGATGTGGTCATTACATTTAATCGGTGAAGAAAATGAGAACAATGTGAGGCTGGAGGTGGATTGATTTAGATCGAGAGGTTTAATCGCGAGCGAGCGCGACAATGATCCGTACGACACGCGCACGCGCAATCCATTCAATGCTAATGGGCCGGAAGAGTGCGCACGTGTAGCTCTCTCTTGTGATTATAACACACATTGTTTCCCTGATCACTCGATGCCGCCGCAATTTTAGTTTCGAATTAAGTACATGAGCTATTTATTGGTACTTTATAAAATGAATATAAATACAGACTAACTTGAAATACTTCATTCAGCTCTAACCGATAATTGTTGTTTAAATAACATTATTAAGAATATGAAGAGAGTCTTTTGTGGACACCGGTTTGAGTTTATGTAAAATGTAATCGTGATTCTGATTCTATCGACACGACTCGCACATTCAATGTTGGTTACAAAATGGTCTAGTCCAGGGTTGGGACGTGGTTTATTTATATACTTTTTCTACCACTATCTTTAAGAGATGATAATGTCACATTTACATGTCTGTGAAAGGGTTGCTATCAGGTCCGAAGCTATTCGGTCATTTCTGAAATACACACGAGAGTAAAGCCGTTTATCCTTTACTACCTTTTGCCCGCGGCTCCTCCCCCGTGTATGTCGGTTATGGCGGTAAAAAGTCTGCCTATATCATAATTCAAGGATTAAACTATCCCCATACCAAATTTCATCTAAATCGGTTCAGCAGTTTAAGCATTTAAAATATTAATATTAGTATGTACAAGTGTGACATGTATTTATATTTGTATTCATTTTTACACGTGTATTTTGACTAATATAGTCAGTAGTAATCAGTAATCACTCACCTTGAAAACCTAACTAGGTACATCGTAAACGGAGGCTACAAAATTTTTCAGCGTCATCTTCACGACTCATATTTGTTCCGGGACGTCGTACAAGCCAAATCTACTAAAAGTAATCTTTAAGTGATAACATTGATACCGTATAGTGAGAACATTTTATTACTCATATGAAACGTGAGCAGTTTAAATGTAACAGATTTGTTCACTGAGAAGAGTTAGAATTAGTTATAACAACTTTTTTCAATAATAGTCTAGTACTCTAGTGCAAGTGGACAATATAGTTACGGTTAAAATTCAAGTTACGTTATTGTATCGAGTAATTTAATAGCTTTTGGTACAAATGATCATCATCATCATCAACAGCCTTTAACAGTCCACTGCTGGACATAGGCCTCTCCTTAAAAAGGAGGTTTTGGCCTACTATACCACGCTGGCCAGACGGGTTGGTATAGGGTTTGTGTCAAGTTTTCCTTCTCTCTGCAGTGCTGTTGTCCTGCGTGTTTCGCTCCCTTAAATGAAAAAAATGATATTTGTATTTAATAAAACTTGCCAATGTTAAAAGTAAAAAAAATCTCTTAGTCTCATACATTACAGATTAATTTAATAAATTCACAATTTATGCAAATCGTTCGTAGGGTATACAGAAACTATTTAATAAAAGTAGTAAAATTGATTTTGCTTTGTAAAATACTTCATACCGCAATTAATTAGAAATTTATTATTAAGTTAGATTTCATAAGTAGCTGTGTTTGTACCGAGGCGAGTATAAGTACGTCGACGCCAATATAAGAAGAGAAACATGTTAGTTATCAGCTATTTTAATTATATTAGGCCATTTATTTAAAAATACTTTTTAAGTTGTTTGCAAATTATGTTTAGAACTAAAAATATGCTTATTATGGCAATAAAGATATCTGCAATGATTAAAATCAAGATTGAATGATTATGTTGACATTAATAGTTTAAGAAATAAACTAAAATACATTGATACTTACGACGTGAATACTTTATAGAAAAGTAAGAAATCTAGTATAATTCATCTTTCCTTTCTAACCGTTACTTTAAATTCATTTAAATGCATAATAGTTTTGTAATAGCTTTTTGGATCTTGTTAGAGCTAGTCTAGCTTATTGTTCATAATAGAATAGAAACAGTTACGATAGGCGGTTTACACGCATGGCGAGACTCGATAAGTGTCCACAAGCGTGTAAACGGGGGGTTTACTCGGCTCGCGTAAACTCGTCGTTCATCGGTACTAGTGTTGGCTAAAGGAAGCTTGCGGTAAGCGTTTGCTACGTTTGCCTGTCCGGAACACAATAGCACAATCGCAAGCGTGGAAATGGCATCAAAGCGTTTGTAAAGACTTGGAGCTTGACGTTTGCCAAGCCTCCGCACGCATGTAAATGCACGCATTAATGCTGCAGATTGTTACTGTAACTAACTATTGAAAACCGAATGTAGGCTAAGCGTAGCGCAAAATAGGTACTCTTACTTGAATATTATATACTACTAATGAGGTATTACATTTTTGGACTTCCACTAACGAGCAAACTAAATCCTAATATATTATAACACACGATGGGTCTATAGTCTCTACTAATTTATTAAAGAGTACTTAATTATAATAGCTTGAGCAAGGCAGAGATGTATCATGGAAACCAACCTGCACATAAACACACTTACATATTTCTACATAGATACATATTAGAGATAAATAACATCAACACACGCAATTAATGATAGTGTCTATTAAGGGAGAAATATTTGTCCTCAGAGGCATTCGAGTCCACGATCTCTGACCTGGCCTCCAGTTAGAATCACTAGCCACTAGAGTCAGTGTGTGAATATCTAAGTTTCACACTTTGACCATGTGTGAGACCTCTCAGCTGACCGTGTGTCACATCTCAAGTTATCATTATTGTATACATGAAAATGATATAACAGTTGCTATCAATACAATAATGTGACATTCACTTTTTTATTTAAAGTTTTATCCTTTACACATATGGCATTTTTTACGGCAACGTAATGTCACGAACGATAAATAGACCTAAATTAAATCAAATTTTTCATTGTAAACAACCGCATTTTTAACAAAGAGCCATTGCCGCTTCGTTGATCCTGTATGTTTATCTCGGCGCTTTTGACAAAATTGTATGTTTAAACTTGTAATATGAATGGCATCAAAAACTCCTATTAAAAAAGATTGAGATCGGTTTACAAAATCCAAAGCATTACCTTTGAGTTTTGACGTATAAACACGTATTTCTTACATTTGAAATTTGCTTACAACACAATTTAAAATTATTGGCTTGTACTGATGACCGAGAGCTTAACATGTAAAATATTTGAGGCCGTTTTGTTATTCTATGTATTACTCAACAATATCAATCATTTACTGACAAACAAGTTACTTTTCATAAGTTTTATTTCACTAAACACGAATAAATAAATGTTTAGTTTAACCTGATGGTAGAAGGTCTGCACTACAATCATCCAAAGGTCCAGGAGTATCCATAAAATTTTTAGTCGTCATATTACCGAATGATTATGTTTTTCCATTTAACTGGCCAAGATTTCAGAAAAACATTATTTGGTCTTTAATTGAAAATCACTCGTATAGTTTGTCGTAATAAGCATCCTCAGCTGGGGATTGTATGTTAATCTATGTTATGTAATGTTAAATATTAAGTACTACAAGTAAGTTAGTTCTTTAAGTTTCTTCTCAGTTAGTGCAGCTAGTGCACTCTTCATTACTTGGCTTTCATTTGAATTTTAAACAAAAGTAATCAGCATAAAAAGCTGCAATGCAAATATTATTCAAGAATTCCTATGTTATGTAAATCAAAATAACACACATTGCACTTCACTAGCATTGTCTCTATACAAACTACGCAAGATAATATGTTAAGAATGCGACAGACTGCAGTAACGCATGCCAGTTCATTGGATGACTATGCAGTACTAAGCTTCACCTGTTATAATTAGTAATATACAATTTTTAATCCCCACATACAATGATTTATCAAGTACTAGCGATCCGCCCCGGCTGAAACTGAATATCGTAAGCAGTACGACTGCTTACGATATTCAGTTTAATGATATGCTGTAAAAGGCAATTTTGATGTACATTAAATTCACAACGTAACTAATGTATTTATTTAGCTAAGTAATAGTACTGTATTGTTCAGAATAGCTTCGTAAATTACCCATTATTTTTTGTAAATGCAAAAGATAAAACTCGGACTTTTTTGTACATTATTTTTATCTATCTAAGGTTTAGCCACTGTTTGCAATGTAAACGTTTAAAAACATCTTTTTTAAACTTTACATTAAAAATGTTTGAAATTCTCTTATTTCCCGAACTATAAAATGCATGTATTATACATACAAACCCGCCTCATGAATCACTTTTTCCATTGTTGATCCGTTGCGTGGTTTGAAAGATCTAAGCGTATAAGAAAAAAAAAACGATTTCATTTTATACTATGTAAAGATTAAAACAGCCTGAAACATTAAACATCAATGAAGAACGAAGACATTTAGTACAAAATAAATATAGAACAAAATAATATGTTCAAAAATGAATTTAACAAAAATCAATCAATGATTACTTAAGATTCTTCATAAGGGAACTGTAGAATACTGAAAATAATAAACCATTTCTTCTTTTAAGCAATTATATTATTGAAAACCATAGTAGTTTCACCAAAATATTTGGTAAAGTTAAAAGCGTCAAGGATCATGGCAGAAGCTTTCGCTGCATTCGACACATGTAAATTTAAACTCCTGCTTCTTTACTTTTTTACAAATCCAGAAGTCAAATCTGCTTCAAACATGTACTACATATTTTTTATTCTTTTAATACACTTGTTAACACATATAATAACAAACAGAACTACCCATTAAGCCTAATTTTGATTAAAAGACGACTTGTATTTTATTGATTGGTTTAATCATTCAATTATAATCAACGTCG